TTTTCATAAAAAGAGTTAAGTCGTTTGAGAGGAATTCTCATGGTGTTTGATCATAGTTTGATGCTGTCTGTGCTGCTGGTGGCGGCCACATTGAGCACTTGTAAAACATGAAATAAAAACTTGAAGTTAAAGGTAGGCCTAGCACAACATAAATTATGTGTCCAATCTAGAATTTTCTACTGCTTTTCCGTTTTTGAAATATCGCGTGATGATTCTGGCACATCCTTTTTTAATCACCCTTATTATTTGTAAGTTAAACTATTCTTTTTCATGAAAAAAAAAGTTGATAATGCGACCAGTGTATAACCTGGGATCCTTTGTTAAGTTTTGATTTGTTTTACAATACAGTCGAACCTGCCTTAACGGAAACCTGTATAAAACAGAAGCCTATCTTAACGGAATCTCCCCGCTCCTCCCTTGATATTTTCCTCTTTGATTACCTGCATAAAACGGAAACCTGTCCAACGCGGAAATGGAAAGAAAAATCCGCTCCCTTCCGAGGGTTTCACCTGTCTAAGACTAAGACGGAAAATGCGTTGCCCGCTCAGCCTTGATTTGAAACAAAACTCGCAAGATTGGTTCCGCCCTAGACGGTCAGAGACGGTAAGTAAGAACGTATAGGTTCCGCCGGCTCTAAACTTAACGCCATGGACATGCCGCTGGGCGAGGAAGGGGAGTAGGCTGGACGGTTAGTATAAACGTATAGGGAGTAGGGGTGCAATTTGGGGGGTAGATGTTACCCCATCATGTGCAACGTGAGCCCTGGGTGATGCAGATGGTCAGGGTGGCGTGGGTGTGAAATCTCACGACTGCCCGCGAGAGTGGTCGAGTAGTGAGCCACTACGGAAACTTTCCTTGGTAGCCAGAAGCCAGAGGTGTGAAATTAGATTGACCAAACCCTGCCGCCCTGATGGTACAGGAAGCCGAGAAAAGAGTTCCTCGAATCGTTGTTACATGATGGCTATGAAGGGTGGCATTGCTTGTGCTTGTGCTTGTGACACCGGTGGGTGGGGCTAAGGGTGGGAGCAAAGGAGATGTTCAAACGTTCATGTTTTTAATAGGTCAAAACAGTGGTCCTATGAAAGGCAAGCACTGGTGGTAAAAGGATAAGCAAAACTGACGCATGTCATTATCAGACAGGATAGCAATTGAGAGGTGTGAAGTTTTGATCACGGCTTGCCGATCGGACAAGCGATCCTTGATCCCATCGGCTGGGCCTTTGAACCCCCCCCCCTCCCCCTTTTCCATCTCCCCATAAGTTCTCCTGTCTAAGACGGAAAATGTCTGAGACGGAATTTTCTCTGGCTCCCTTGCGATTCCGTCTTACACAGGTTCGACTGTACATGGAATAAGAGAGTGAGAATGGAAATCAAATATTGTACTTGCAAACCAATTTTCCATCGAAAATCAATTCCTTTTCTAAACGACATATACATCAAGGAAGAAGTCA